GACCTAATCTGGGGAGAAAACGGCAAAGACCTGATGAAGAGAGCACAGCAGAGGTTATATTTTCTGAGACTCCTCCGGAAAAACTATCTCTCAAAGGACCTGTTGATGGCATTTTACCATTGTACTGTGGAGAGTGTATTAACTTATGGTCTGTGTGTGTGGTTTGGGAGCTGCACGGCCAGGGAAAAAACAATGCTGTCCAGGGTTGTAAAGACTGCAGAGAGAATAACTGGGTGCACTCTTCCCACCTTGGATCAAATCTATGCAGCCAGGTGCCATAAGAAAGCTGCAGAGATAGCGCAGGATAGTGCACACCCCGGAAATGATCTCTTTCAGCTTTTTCCTTCTGGAAGAAGGTACAGGGTTATAAAGACCAGGACTAGCCGCCTGAGAAAGAGTTTCTACCCAAATGCAATTCTGGTTCTAAACGCAGTATAAGGAGTCTCTATAGTAAATTGTATTTTAAAATGGGGTTTCAGAGTTTTTAGGGGATTTTGAATGTCTTATTTAGATTTTTCAATTTCATTGTTCTTTAAAGGACAATGACAATATAGATATTGTAAAAATCTAATCCAATACAAAAATGTGATAATAAAACATAACTTTGAAATAAGCAACCGATATCAAATAAAGTTATATTCAACAATCCATTAGAACAGTGTGGAATATTAAATATCAGCATATAAAAATTAAACAGGAACCCACTCTTAACAAGTACAATAAATAATTTCTAAACCATCATCAATAAAAACAACGGCAAGTCACAGTGCATAAAATAATACAATTGAGAAGCAGAGACTGGAGGGTGGGACAAGGCAGGTGGAAAAGGCCTTGCCTGGTGGACGGCATATTAATTTGTTCCCGTGAGCATGCAGCTATTGGCCAAAGAATCACACCAAAAAGGAAGTCGATTTAAAATGCACTGAGATAACGTACAGATGATGGGGAGAAATTGCAAATGCCTTAGCTGTCTTAGGCTTTCTCCCCTTCCCAGAGCTGTCCAATGTCCTGAAATTGACAGCTCTCTCGCTCTCTCTCTCTCTCTCTCTCTCTCTCTCTCTCTCTAACATAATTTTTATTGGATTTTTCCATATTTCATTTTAATTCAATACACATATTCACAACATCTTATTTGCTCAAAGTGAGCTTTGACTTCCTTCTACAGTGGTACCTCAGGTTAAGTACTTAATTCGTTCCGGAGGTCCGTTCTTAACCTGAAACTGTTCTTAACCTGAAGCACCACTTTAGCTACTGGGGCCTCCTGCTGCCGCTGCACCGCCGGAGCACGATTTCTGTTCTCATCCTGAAGCAAAGTTCTTAACCTGAAGCACTATTTCTAGGTTAGCGGAGTCTGTAACCTGAAGCGTATGTAACCTGAGATACCACTGTACCTCTCTTTCTGACATCCCTATAGCCTATAAGATATCTTTCGCATTACCATAATCACTTCTTTATCTATAATCACCTTAAGAAATCACATTCTTATTTATAAATCAGCATCATAATTTCACATTACAAAACATTTCACGTTAACGCTACAAACGTTTTTAAATGAGTACAGTTTTCTTTCAAATAATAAATAAATTTGCTCCAGTGCTTTTGATGTTTTTCTTCGGGCTGATTCCTGATTCTCCCCGTCAGCTTCGCCAACTCCACAAATTCTACCCTTTTTATTCTCCAGTCTTCCAATGTAGGGAGTTCTTGCTGCTTCCACCTTTGAGCCAAGAGGATTCTCACTGCCGTTGTGGCATACATAAATAAATTTACATCTTTTTTATTAATTTCTTCATCAATTAGCCCTAATAAGAATGCCTCTGGGTTTTTTTTTTGCTAAAGTTATATTTTAATATTTTTAAAAATTCATTGTAAATAATGTCCCTGGGTCATTGGGACATCTCTCTCTCTCTCTCTCTCTCTCTCTCTTTCTCTCTCTCTCTCTCTCTCTCCTTTAAACCTGCCTTGGACCTGCCCATCCCTGGAGAGCCTTGCAAAACTCAAGTTCCCATTGGCTGGGCGCTGCTCATGCATGCAAATCTTTGACAACTTCTGCCCAATGCCCGCGGCATCAAAATGCCAACTTGCCTTGCCCCGCCCCCAGCATTTAAATCCAATTTTTAAATATCATTTGTGATATTACCCCCCAAAGTTCTGGATGCAAGTCACCAAGACATTCCTTGTGGTCTGTAGGATCAACGACAGACATTCCGATCCCGAATCACAACAAATGTTTATTGAATCAGAGGTATGGACTGCAAAGGCAAGTTGAACATCGCCCGGCTTCGATAGATGCACCAATTAAAAGCCGATGGTTCCTAAAATGAGGAAGCATAGCATACAATTTGAGGAAAGCTGAGGTTTCTGTGCTTCGTGACATCGGCTGCTCACTCTCATTACAAAAATCAACAAGGCAATTTTTTTAGGAAGCTGGTGCTCAGAAACCTGGTCCGAGACCATGTACTGAGAACCCTCTAAAGGCACATTGGGAGTCTCTAAAAGATAGAAAAAGGGGAAATCTTTCCTAATGATGGACTGTTTAATGTCTCAGAGGTCTTTCTGTTTTCAGTTTATAAGTTCCAGAGTCGCTTGGCCTTAAATCTATGATGGGAAGAGAGCAGTTTGGGGGTCCCAGCTTCCCTCCCAGTGAGGGCAGATCCAATTATCTGTGCAGAAAGTGGATGTAGGAAATAGATAACGATCTTGTTTTTCTCCAGCTGCAGACACTCATTGTCTTCAGATTTATACTTCCTGGTGTTAAAGCGATGCTCTGTCCGTCAGTTGGCTTCTCTGGTTCAGCTGTGATGGGTATTTCAGCCGAGGCTGTGGCGTGTGTGAAGAAAGACTATCCTTTCAAGCATGCGACCCCTTTCCAAGCAATAACAATAGATGTTAACTGTTTAATATTGCATAGTTCTATGCAGAATTTAAACCATTTGGGGTGTTATAACAATAGAGGTGTATATAGGACCCATGTACCTACGGGACCGCCACTCCTGGTATGCCCCGCGGAGGACCTTAAGGTCCACAAGTGACAACTTTTTGGAGGTCCCAAGTCACAAGGTGGTTAGATTGGTCACAACTTGAGACAGGGCCTTTTCAGTACTGGCCCCAACTTGGTGGAACACTCTGTCACAAGAGACCAGGGCCCTGCGGGACTTGACATCTTTCTGCAGGGCCTGCAAGACAGAGCTGTTCCACCTGGCCTTTGGTTTGGACTCAGTCTGACTCTTATGTTCTCTCTTCCCTTATGGTTTGGATCTATGGGCTACTTTTAAAATGAGGCTGCATTTTAAATTGCATTTTAACCTGTATTTTAAATTGGGTTTTCTCCCCTATTATGTTTTTACTGTGATTTTACTGGTGTTAGCCACCCTAAGCCCAGCTCTGGCCGGGGAGGGCAGGGTATAAATAAAATTTATTATTATTATTATTATTATTATTATTATTAAATACATTTTTGTGAATGAGTAAAAAAAGTTATTAGTTTTCTTGTGTTTTGTAAAATGTGAAAAGAAATGTGAAAATTCTCTCTCTCTCTCTCTCTCTCTCACACACACACACACACACACACACAGCTGATAATTCAGGGAGTTGGCTTGGAATCTCCTTGTCGTTGCTGCTCGAATTTTACTAGCCAAGAAGTGGAAAACACAAGAACTACCAACTGTGGAAGAATGGCAGATGAAGATGATGGACTTCATGGAGCTAGCGGACCTTACTGGAAGAATCCATGACCAGAAAAAAGAAGAATACCAAGATTGGTAGGTATCTTGGGAAGAATGGCAGATGAAGTTGATGGACTATATGGAATTGGCGGAAATGACTGGCAGAATCCGAGACCAGGGAGAAGAGTTGGTGGAAGAAGACTGGAAAAAGTTTAAAGACTATTTACAGAAATACTGTAAAATTAATGAATGTTAGAAAAATGTTGGAATGAAATTATATGGCTTTAGTAGAAATGTTATAAGGAATTAAGTATAAATAGATTAATAGAGTATTAAAGGAAAAAATAAGGTTAGAATGTGTTAAGATAATTATAGGATAGAAAACAGAGGAAGATGGAAAGGAATTGCTGAAACTATTAACAGAAGTGGAATACAAAAAGGGAGGTGGGAGGAGGTCGTGGAAATAAGTGAATGAAAGATAAGATATTGAAATTGTTTGATTCATTTTAAACTGTTTCTGTTTTGTTTTGTTAGTTTAATGTATTTAATGTGTTTAATGTGTCAGTGTTGTGTAGTGTTTTTGTATTGTATTGTATTGTTTTTGTAGTGTTTAAATTGTTAGAAAAGTAATAAATATTAATTTTAAAAAAAAGAAGAATACCAAGATTGGAGGAAATTTAAAGACTATTTGAATAAATATTGTAATATTAAAAATTAGAAGTTATGCGAAAGTACCAAATAGGCTTAGGATCAAATTATGATTCATTTAAATAAATGAGATTTAGAACATTAAGAAAAGTGAAGAAAATTGATTATAACTGGAATATTGTGTGTTAATAATGATATTGGACAACTGTTACATTCAGACACAAGGAAATTCAGAAGGGAGGGATTTGAGGAAGTCAATTAATATGTTTATAAGATTGGATTTTTAAATAACTAAGATTGTTTTTGTGGTTTATGTGTTGGTTGTTATCTGTTACAGATGTATCTTTTATTTTTTTCTTCTTTTTATTTTTGTCTTTTCTTTTCTTTTCTTTTGTTGTTGTTGTAGAGTGTGTCATAATTGTATAAAATTTAATAAAAGTTATGGGGGGGGAAGGAATCTCCTTGTCGTTGACCCAAACCAACTGCCCCCACCTCGAAAATGGCAAAAAGTTCTGGCTTGGTGTACAAATGTATAGCCTGCCTTCCAGAAGAACCTCCCCAGACAGGACCACTCTACCCCAGTCACACACTGCTCCTGTGGCTCAGTCCTCTGCTTTGTGACCTTTTCCAGTTACCAGGGAGCTTCACACTGCTTCAGGGTGGGGTGGGGTGGAGGGAGAAGAGGGGAGCTATGGATGAAGCACCCTGGGCCTAGGAGGACAGCCTGGGGTGGGTGGGGAGCGGGTGGGCTCAGCTGGGGGTCCCAGCCGCTGGCGGCAAGGAGCACGGGAGGAACTTAGGCAACCAGCTGGGCACAAAGGCCACCTTCCCAGGATGTCCAAGCCCCTCCCATCTCCAAGAGGGGCGGGGACATCATGTGGACAGTGCCCACAAGTTGGCTCCTCCTGCGGCCATGGGAGATCCGGGGCCATGGTGCTTCTAGCAGGTGAGATTTATTTGGGACTCCATGGGGAGGCACGAAGATCTAAAACTACACTTTCAGGGTGATGTAACTTCTTTGGCTGTCTCAATACAAGCCATGCCCCACCCAACCCCCCAATCCTGACATCATGGTGCAACAATACAACTGTTCTTTGAAATATGTAAAGAGGATATAATGTCCCCCTTTGTTGTTGTTTAGTCGTTTAGTCGTGTCCAACTCTTCGTGACCCCATGGACCAGAGCACGCCAGGCACTCCTGTCTTCCACTGCCTCCCGCAGTTTGGTCAAACTCATGCTGGTAGCTTCGAGAACACTGTCCAACCATCTTGTCCTCTGTCGTCCCCTTCTCCTTGTGCCCTCCATCTTTCCCAACATCAGGGTCTTTTCCAGGGAGTCTTCTCTTCTCATGAGGTGGCCAAAGTATTGGAGCCTCAGCTTCACGATCTGTCCTTCCAGTGAGCACTCAGGGCTGATTTCCTTCAGAATGGAGAGGTTTGATCTTCTTGCAGTCCATGGGACTCTCAAGAGTCTCCTCCAGCACCATAATTCAAAAGCATCAATTCTTCGGCGATCAGCCTTCTTGATGGTCCAGCTCTCACTTCCACATATAACTACTGGAAAAACCATGGCTTTAACTATACGGACCTTTGTTGGCAAGGTGATGTCTCTGACATGTTCCCCTTACTAACCCCTTTTCCCAGGGGTGCAACTTTGTCAGACCTTCCTCATAGAACTCATAGTTGGAATGGGACCTGAGGATCATCTAGTCCAACCCCACCTGATTCTTGTTCTTCCCCTGGTGTTTACCTTTCCCTCCTCCTCCTCATTACACCCTGCACTTCGGTGGAAAAGTACTCCCAGCCTCTGTAGTCCCTGCCCTTAAATGTTACGATCCAAAATACATGGCATGAAAGGAAAGGGCATTGAGAGGGTGGAGGAAAAGAACAAACTCCAGTACTGATCCTAAGTTAAATGCTCGGTTAGCTCCCAACCAACCGCTTTCTCAGAAGTGACTGTACCATAGCTAGTGCTGACCATATCGGTGCTGGGAGTGGGGGAGTCGGGGAACGTCCTTCTCAAACCCACCAAAGAAGGGGCTACAGTCTCATCAGACCCTCCATGGAAGGCATGTTCTCCATGATACAACCCCTTGCAGAGCAGATGGACCTGCCATTGTGGGCTAGTCATAGCGACCACTTTCTTGGGCTCCATGATCACTGCAGATGGTGACAGCAGTCACAAAATTAAAAGACGCCTGCTTCCTAGGAGAAAAGCAATGACAAACCTAGACAGCATCTTAAAAAGCAGAGACATCACCTTGCCAACAAAGGTCCGTGAGGGCACAAGGAGAAGGGGACGACAGAGGATGAGATGGTTGGACAATGTTCTCAAAGCTACCAGCATGAGTTTGACCAAACTGCGGGAGGCAGTGGAAGACAGGAGTGCCTGGCATGCTCTGGTCCATGGGGTCATGAAGAGTCGGACATGACTAAATGACTAAACAGCAACATAGCGGCCATGGGGGCTTTGCCATAAAATATTTGAGGGGGCTTCCTCCCAAAAAACTGATGGGTACTGCCATTCAAAAGCTTTGTGTGTGCTGCGTCATGTGATCGACTCTGTGGGGCAGGACTTACTGTATTTTTCCATATATAACACGCCCCCGTGTATAACACAACACCTATTTTTTGGGACTCCAATTAAGAAAATGGGGGGAGATTGCCCAGAGGGTATTTTTTTGTTTTTTGTTTTGCTTTTGGGGGGGATTCCCAGACTGGTTGAGCTTTTTGGGGGGCAGATTGCCAACAATCACTCACCCGCCTGACCTGCCTGACTGCAGCTGTCAGTCGCACGCCTTGCAAAAAACAACAATCGTCTGCCCAATCCAGCAGCCTTGAAAATAAGGGATCAGCAGCCAAAATAAGGGATTTTAGTCAACCAGCTGAAATACGAAGTTAAAAGGGACCAGATAATTTGGGAGAGCAGTGCCGGTTTTTAGCCCTTTGTTTCCAGAGGTTGCTGCTCAAGACACCAGCCGATGAAACACTGCAATTAAATAACTACAAGCAGCAACCACTTTTCGCACAAAACGAAGTCCAAGCTACGAAGATGCTGCTGCAGTTCTGTATCTTTTCTCTTGTGCTCCATCTGCAGCGCTCAGTTCCATCAGGCAGGGTGGGAGGAGGGGGGGGAATAGTGCCCGAAGTAAACCCGCAGATCAGACCATCTATGCTAGTCTACCACTACAAATCTATGGGAGAAGCACTTGCGGTCCTTCCTCCTCTTTCACCCTCTATGGTTAGCCCTTGGAACACCTGCCCGCGCCTCCTCCTCTTCCTCCTCCTCCTCTCTCTGAACTGCTTTCTCTATGGTTGCCCTCGCTCTCCTCTCAAGGCTCCTCAGCAATGGCTGCCCATCTCATCCGGGTCCTACGGCAGCGCAGCCGCAGTTCGGCCTAGCGGGAGCCGCGGCGGCAGCGATGGGCAGAGGGGAGGCCCCAGGCAGAGACGCTCAGTTTGGCGGCCGCAAGGAGGATGGCGGCGGAAGGGCCCGAGGCTCCCGCCAGACCCGGCAGGGAGGGGCTCCCGGGGGCTGAGGCTGGTGAGAGGAGGCCGGAGGGGGGCGGGCCAGGCAGCCAAGCAACACAGTTGGAGCCTCCCTCCTCCCTGGCCGGCAGGGAGGGAGGAAGAGGAGCTGCTTTCTTTGAAACCCGGGAAATTTAAGGGGCATCATCAATAAGGGACAGCAGCGGGACACGACGCTGGGATAAGGGAGTTTCCCGCCAAATAAGGGACGGTTGACAGCTATGGCCCAATCGCCACCAGCAGTCACAAATTAAAAACTTCCCTAAACAGGGATGCCTTCAGATGTCTTCTAAAAGTAAAGTACTTGTTTATTTCTTTGACATCTGATGGGAGGGCGTTCCACAGGGCAGGCACCACTACCGAGAAGGCCCTCTGCCTGGTTCCCTGTTGCTTTGCAGTGAGGCAACCACCAGAAAGCCCTCGGCAGAATAGAATGGTATGATCCAATATAAGAGTTTTTTCCTATGTCACTTCCTAGAACTGACTGAGGCTGGATCTATACAGATTAAAAAAAACTCTATAGGGGAAAAAAACACTAGAAAAGCTCTTAATGGAAAATCCCTCTGGTGATGGATTGCTGCTCTGCATCGCCATCTGGTGCCACATGTTTATAATGCAGTTATAACAATATAATTGTCAAGTGTAGCCCTGCCCTGACTGTCTCTTCTCTACCCCTTCACCTCTAGGTCATATCTTGAGTTCATGTTTCCTGTTGACGCAAGCTGTTCAGAATATCACCATTGATGTCAGCCTAGACCCAGAATTCCCCCTGGTAGGGCAGGATGTCACCTTCGTCCCCAAAGGGCTTATGATAGACGTAATCTCCTGCCTGTGGACAAAGGGGGAAAAGGATGAGTCTTTCCCCATCTTCCTCTATCACCCACCCCCAAAAGCTGCATTCTACCCTAAAGCAGCCTATGATGGACGCCAGACGCCAAGCTTCGATTGCTCCATGCACATCCGGAACGTAACATTCGACGACATTGGCCTCTATGAAATATTCAAGACTAGAAAGATTGCTAACGAAGTGGGTGAGGCCTTCTTACTGGTGACAGGTAAGGACTGGGAACCGGGGGAAGAAATCTGACTCAGCTCACATTTATGATAAGTAAAGGTAAAGGGACCCCTAACCATTAGGTCCAGTCGTGGCCGACTCTGGGGTTGTGGCGCTCATCTCGCTTTATTGGCCAAGGGAGCCGGCGTACAGCTTCCGGGTCATGTGGCCAGCATGACTAAGCCACTTCTGGCAAACCAGAGCAGCGCATGGAAACGCCGTTTACCTTCCCGCCGGAGCAATACCTATTTATCTACTTGCACTTTGACGTGCTTTCAAATTGCTAGGTTGGCAGGAGCTGGGACCGAGCAATGGGAGCTCACCCCGTCGTGGGGATTCGAACCGCCGACCTTCTGATTGGCAAGTCCTAGGCTCCACCTGGAAGGTGGAGCGAGCTTGTTTTCTCCTGTTCCGGAGGGTAGGACTTAAACCAAGAGCTTCAAGTTACAAGAAAGGAGATTCCGACTAAACATCAGGGAGAACTTTCTGGCAGTAAGAGCTGTTTGACAGTGGAATGGTCTCCCACTGGAGATTGTGGGCTCTCCTCCCTTGGAGGTTTGTAAGCAAAGGTTGGATGTCCACCTGTCATGGATGCTTCAGCTGATATTCCTGCATTGCAGGGGGTTGGACTGGATAACCCTTGGTGGTCCCTCCCAACTCTACGATTCCATGCAAACTTAACCTGATTCTCACTTGCCAAAGTAAAGTAGCTTTGACAATTTGGAGCAAGGAGTTTGTGATCCTTCCTTTTCCTCATTCTCACGGTTGCCTTTCCTTGTCTCCACAGAAGAAAAGACTCCAGAGCTGAGAAAGCCTAGAAGTCTAACTTCTGGAGCTATCGCAGGGCTCGCTTTTGGCTGCATTGTGGGAGCGATTCTTTTGGGGGTTATGCTGATAAGTCTCCTGACTATGTTACCTTCTACAAGGTGATGCTTTCTCCTCCTCCTCCTCCTCCTCCTCCTCCTCTTCCTCCTTCTCTTCCCTTCCCTTCTCCTCGCCTTCTCCTCTCCTTCTCCTCCTCCTCTCCTTCTCCTTCTCCTTCTCCTTCTCCTCTCCTCTCCTCTCCTTTCCTTCTCCTTCTCCTCTCCTTCTTCTTCTCCTCCTTCTTCTCCTCTTCTCCTCCTTCTCCTTCTCCTTCTCCTTCTCCTCTCCTTCTCCTCTCCTCCTCCTCCTCCTTCTCCTCCTCCTCTCCTTCTCCTTCTCCTTCTCCTTCTCCTTCTCCTTCTCCTTCTCCTTCTCCTCTCCTTCTCCTTCTCCTTCTCCTCCTCCTTCTTCTCCTCTCCTTCTCCTCCTTCTGCTTCTCCTTCTCCTCCTCTTCGCCTCCTCCTCTCCTTCTCCTTCTCCTCTCCTCTCCTTTCCTTCTCCTTCTTCTTCTCCTCCTCCTCTCCTTCTCCTTCTCCTTCTTCTCCTCCTCTCCTCCTCTCCTTCTTCTCCTTCTCCTCCTCCTCCTCCTCTCCTTCTCCTTCTCCTTCTCCTCCTCCTCCTCCTCTCCTTCTCCTCTCCTTCTCCTTCTCCTTCTCCTCCTCCTCCTCCTCTCCTTCTCCTCTCCTTCTCCTTCTCCTCTCCTTCTCCTTCTCTTTTCCTTCTCCTTCTCCTTCTGCTCTCCTTCTCTCCTTCTCCTTCTCCTCTGCTTTCCTTCTCCTTCTCCTCCTCCTCTCCTTCTCTCCTCCTTCTCCTTCTCCTCCTCCTCCTTCTCCTTCTCCTCCTCCTCCTTCTCCTTCTCCTTCTCCTTCTCCTTCTCCTTCTCCTCTCCTTCTCCTTCTCCTCCTTCTTCTCCTCTCCTTCTCCTCCTTCTGCTTCTCCTTCTCCTTCTCCTCCTCTTCTCCTCCTCCTCTCCTTCTCCTTCTCCTTCTCCTTCTCCTTCTCCTTCTCCTTCTCCTTCTCCTTCTCCTTCTCCTCTCCTTCTCCTCTCCTTCTCCTTCTCCTTCTCCTCCTCTCCTTCTCTCCTTCTTCTCCTTCTTCTCCTCCTCCTCCTCTCCTTCTCCTCCTCCTCCTCCTCCTCCTCCTCCTCCTCTCCTTCTCCTCTCCTTCTCCTTCTCCTTCTCCTCTCCTTCTCCTCCTCCTCCTCTCCTCCTCTCCTTCTCCTCTCCTTCTCCTCTCCTTCTCCTTCTCCTTCTCCTCTCCTTCTCCTTCTCTTTTCCTTCTCCTTCTCCTTCTGCTCTCCTTCTCTCCTTCTCCTTCTCCTCTGCTTTCCTTCTCCTTCTCCTCCTCCTCTCCTTCTCTCCTCCTTCTCCTTCTCCTCCTCCTCCTTCTCCTTCTCCTCCTCCTCCTTCTCCTTCTCCTTCTCCTTCTCCTTCTCCTCTCCTTCTCCTTCTCCTCCTTCTTCTCCTCTCCTTCTCCTCCTTCTGCTTCTCCTTCTCCTTCTCCTCCTCTTCTCCTCCTCTTCTCCTTCTCCTTCTCCTTCTCCTTCTCCTTCTCTTCTCCTCTCCTTTCCTTCTCCTTCTTCTTCTCCTCCTCCTCTCCTTCTCCTTCTCCTTCTTCTCCTCCTCTCCTTCTCTCCTTCTTCTCCTTCTTCTCCTCCTCCTCCTCTCCTTCTCCTCCTCCTCCTCCTCCTCCTCTCCTTCTCCTCTCCTTCTCCTTCTCCTTCTCCTCTCCTTCTCCTCCTCCTCCTCTCCTCCTCTCCTTCTCCTCTCCTTCTCCTCTCCTTCTCCTTCTCTTTTCCTTCTCCTTCTCCTTCTGCTCTCCTTCTCTCCTTCTCCTTCTCCTCTGCTTTCCTTCTCCTTCTTCTCCTCCTCTCCTTCTCTCCTTCTCCTTCTCCTTCTCCTTCTCCTCCTCCTCCTCCTCCTTCTCCTTCTCCTTCTTGCATTCCAGTTTGATCTTGCACAAATCTTGAGGGGGCTAACCAAAAATGTAAAAGTTGTATGCAAAATGACTAAAAAAAATTGAAACGGAAGGAGAATCAGAGGGATAGGAGGGGTCAGATATTGAATACGGCCTGAGCACAATTTTTAAAAAGCAATCCCCAATCCCACTTTTTTCTGAGTAGTAGTAGTAGGAGATCCAATAGATCAGCTGGTCCCAAAAGCCTTCTTGAAGAGCCAGGTTTTTGACCAGCATACTAATGGCCTGTGTGGGCACTGGGTCATCCTAAAGAGCTGGTGCCTACACGAGATGCATTGCTTTTCCACAATGTGTATATCAGGCAAAATCCCATAGCTCAGTCAGTAGAGCATGCGTCTCTTAATCTTAGGATTGTGGGTTCGAGTCCCAGGTTGGGTGAAAGATTCCTGCATTTCAAGGGGTTGGACTAGTTGACTCCCGTGGTCTCTTCCAGCTCTACAAATCTGTGATTCTGTGAATTTCTGTACAAAATATGTCTGTATTAGGAGAAAGTCGCAATAATGCTGATGAATTCTCATGAGGATTTAAAAATAAACAAATCACAAGCTGATATGGAAATATGGGGGGGGTGAGAAACTGGGAGAAAGCCCAATTGCTCATGCACTTGCATTCTCATGGGTTGTCTCCACATGAGAAACCACCAGCTTTCTGGCTTTCAAAGAGGTTTAGACAAATACATGGAGGTTATCAATGGCTACCAGCCATCATGGCTCTCCTCTGTCTTCATGGTCAGAGGCAGCAATGATTCTGAATACCAGTTTCCAGAAACCACAGGAGGGGAGAGTTGCTCTTGTGCTTGGATCCTGCTCGTGGGTTTCCCATAGGCATCTGGGTGTGGGAACACGATGCTGGATGAGATGGGCCATTGGCCTCATCCAGCAGCCTCCTTGGATGTTCCTATGTCCTGAAGATGTATCTCATCAACCCACCAAGACATATGTTGACTAGACCCTGGGGAGGGGAGTTGAATGACAACGGTAGCATCTCACACCAAAACATTGAATGAGGTGTCCCCAGAAGGCAAATTAAGCACCAGAGAGGCTCAGTGAACAGCAGAAAACAGAGCCCCTGTCAAATAAGGACATGGAACTTTTCTAAAGAAGCGACCATCTTTGACACAACGGAGAGGCGCCAAACTTCTCCCTCCTAAACTCTTTTATCCTTTTCCCTGTTTCTTTAGCGATGAATCGGACCCCACCGTGGTAACCATCATGCCTTCTACAGCACGGTAAGTAGCAAACCTACAGGATGGAGCCTGAAATCTCTCTTTTTGGAGAAAACCAGATTTTCTCTCCAAAAACCGCAAACTACATAAGTTAAGATGTCTTCTAAAAGTTAAGAACGACATAACTTTTAGAAGACATCTGAAGGCAGCCCTGTATCAGGACTTTTTAAAATGTTTGATGCTTTATTATGTTTTATATATTCTGATAGCTGCCCAGAATGGCTGGGGAAACCCAGCTAGATCGGCGGGGTATAAATAATAATAATAATAATAATAATAATAATAATAATTTATTATTTGTACCCTGCCCATCTGGCTGGGTTTCCCCAGCCACTCTGGGCGGCTTCCACAAAGACCAAAAATACACTAAGATGTCACACATTAAAAACTTCCCTGAACAGGGCTGCCTTAAGATGTCTTCTAAATGTCAGGTAGTTGTTTATCGCTTTGACATCTGATGGGAGGGCGTTCCACAGGGCGGGCGCCACTACCGAGAAGGCCCTCTGCCTGGTTCCCTGTAACCTCACTTCTCGCAATGAGGGAACCGCCAGAAGGCCCTCAGTGCTGGACCTCAGCATCCGGACAGAACAATGGGGGTGGAGACGCTCCTTCAGGTATGATTAAACAACATTGGCCAGGAGGCAGAGAGGGAGGGCAGGCTTCTGGAATTCCATTTCCACCTTTGGGGACAAAGTGGTTTGGGGTGGGGGTGGGGCCCAGTTATTCAAATGGAAACAGATGTTGCACAAAATTTGTATTGTTATTGGGGAAGGGATGTTCCCTCAGCCATAATATGACCCTGAAATTGCAGGTATGCAGAGCAGAAAACTGAACATGACTTCAACAGTCAGTTGTGGTCTTCCTCACTGTGATTTATATCATTCATTCATTCATTGCCCTTAACCCTAAGGTCCCAGGGCAGGTTAGAACATGAAAACATTTAAAATGGTTTAAAACAACTTACAGTTACAGAAATCAGATGGGTCCTAAAAATATACACTGTCTGCAGATTTTATTTTATTTTAAAACCATGCACATACAATTCCTCCCATATGTTCAAAATGCCCCTCAACAGTTTAAAACTGTTGCAAAACTTCTCCATGGATGTCAAAGAAGGGAAGCTGGCGCTTGTGGGAGGCAGCTGAGAGCTTCCAGAAATAAACTTCTCACACGTGAATTCTTTGCTGTTTTTCCTCTTTCCTCAGCTCTATGGGAAGCAACAGACCTTCTCACGCAAGGTAAATCGCAGGCCTTTAGGATACAGCCCAGATCCTGTTTTTGGAAGAAGACCAGCTTTGGTGGGCTGGAGTGGTCTCAGAGCTCCGGGACTCCATGTCCACCTTTGGGGGTTAAATGAGGGTCCAATGATTCAGTGAATGCAAATTGAGGGGACCCATGGAGGGTCCCTCAGCCAGAGAACGAACATGGCCTCTCCAGTTTTCCTGTGGGAAATGATTCTGTTCTTGTTTAAAATTGAGCTTGCCTAATGTGAACTGAAGCACAGTTATCCTTCAAAATCCACATTTCCCTAAATGTCGCCATGCAGTTCTCCAGGCAAAAAAATATGTTCAGAAATGCATATACTAAAATGTGCATATAAATGCATGTTTGTGAAAGCAACCCTACCAAAAATGATTGGTTTAATTTATTGGGGGGGGGGAGTGTTGATTAGACAAAAGTATGTTAAAAAATGGGTTCATTATGAGAAATTCGCACTCAAATGATGGGAAAACAAGGAATTTAGAGAACCAAAATTGGCAAAATTGTCAATCTGTACTTTTCTTGGTTCTGGTAAAGATTGACACCAGGCAGGTGCCTTTCACTGTCCCCTAAGCATGTACTCTTTACCTGCTAAAAGCATTTTTGTTTAGGCAAGCCTATCCACGTGTGTAGGATGCTGACATGTCCTTTAATCAGGTTCTTAGCTGTATCCTGGGGGGCGGCATTGGGGAAAGGAGCTGGAAAAGTGGGGAGATTCTGGTCCTGTTTTGGGAACTCTGAGTCCCAAGCCCACCTCTGAGATTCTATTTGTTTCCTTAGGATGGAGAATCAGTTGATATTAAGCAGCCACAATGTCCGACCTGGGTAAGTACCGGTGGGAGGAAAATAAGATTTGTGGGACCCACTTGTGGGTAATTAAAAAGACAATCGGAAAATAGTGCCATCCTTTTTTTTCAGTTTCAGACCCCAACTTGGCCTGTCTCATGGTTCTGATTCCTCCTTCTTCCTAAGCTTTCTGAGCCAGAGTGGTGTAGTGATTAAGAGCGGTAGACTCGTAATCTGGTGAACCGGGTTCGCGTCTCCGCTCCTCCACATGCAGCTGCTGGGTGACCTTGGGCCAGTCACACTTCTCTGAAGTCTCTCAGCCCCACTCACCTCACAGAGTGTTTGTTGTGGGGGAGGAAGGGAAAGGAGAATGTTAGCCGCTTTGAGACTCCTTTGGGGAGTGATAAAGCAGAATATCAAATCCAAACTCCTCCTCCTCCTTTTCTTCTTCTTCTTCTTCTTCTTCTTCTTCTTCTTCTTCTTCTTCTTCTTCTTCTTCTTCTCCTCCTCCTCTATGGCTTGTCCCTTGGTTCTCTCTCAAGCCCCATCTGCAGTGGTGTAGTGGTGTAGTGGTCCAGGGTCAGGGTGGCGTCAAAGACCCGCTACTATTTCTGCAGCAGGGTCCCAGCAGGTTCTCTATCTCCAACATCCAGGAGCTGCCCAATCAGCATGAAAGGGGAGTGCTTTAGCCACTGAGAAGGAGCTTTCTTTGTGCTGATTGGAGCTGATCGGAGTGAAAGGGGGGCGAGGCAGCCATTGAGGATTGGCTCCTAGGGTCATTCTGGAGAAGGTGCATGGGAGGAACCCCAAGGAGGAGTTGTTCTGTGTGCTCTGAAGCTAAGCATTTAGGAACTCTGGAAACCCAAAGTGCTTCCATTTCAAGAGAATGTCATGAAAGTTCCATTACTGTCAGATTTCGGGGAATCAGATCCCTTCCCCCGGTGGCAGTAAATAAGCAGATCAAACGAAAGGAGCGTTCTTACCAGATAAGTTCTTTAATGATCACAGCGAGAGACAAAGGAATGCATGTTGTTGTTGTTGTTGTTGTTGTTGTTGTTGTTTAGTTGTTTAGTCGTGTCTGACTCTTCGTGACCCCCTGGACCAGAGCACGCCAGGCACTCCTGTCTTCCACTGCCTCCCACAGTTTGGTCAAACTCATGCTGGTAGCTTTGAGAACACTGTCCAACCATCTCGTCCTCTGTCGTCCCCTTCTCCTTGTGCCCTCCATCTTTCCCAACATCAGGTTCTTTTCCAGGGAGTCTTCTCTTCTCATGAGGTGGCCAAAGTATTGGAGCCTCAGCTTCACGATCTGTCCTTCCAGTGAGCACTCAGGGCTGATTTCCTTAAGAATGGAAAGGTTGGATCTTCTTGCAGTCCATGGGACTCTCAAGAGTCTCCTCCAGCACCATAATTCAAAAGCATCCATTCTTCGGCGATCAGCCTTCCTTATGGTCCAGCTCTCACTTCCATACATCACTACTGGGAAAACCATAGCTTTAACTATACTATATGGAATGCATATCTCTCTAAAAAATGGTGTTGCTCCCAGTAAAGGTTCACCCCCTCCATCCCCATTAATTTACATCACTCCTATGTTGGGTAATCTGAGCTTGTTGTCATTGAGCTTTCTGTTCTAACGCTTCCCAAGCCCTTCTAGTCTTAGGTGAAGTGTGTGTGTGTGTGTGTGTGTGTGGAATGCTGTCCAAGGACACTGAATCTGCCAGCTGTCTCTCTCTTGCCGTTTCCTCTTCTAGCTGTTCCTCATGTAGTATTTCCCAGCTTTTCCACTCTGCCCTTCTTCAAACCACTGTTCTAAATCAATACTGTCCTCTTGCCCTTGGTTCAGAAAAGGTACCTCCTCACTACAGTCCCTGACAGTAATGGAACTTCACGGAAAACACAAGTAACTGGGAAAAAAGATACTGAAGCAGAAATGAGTAGATCTAGCAGAAAGACAAAACAAGGAGATCTCCACTGATCATTGCAATGCATCCCTAACTATTATTATGGCATCACTGTAAGATTATTGTATAATCTTAGAGAAGGCTGTACAGTAGTACCTTGGGTTACATACGCTTCAGGTTACAGACTCCGCTAATCCTGAAATAATACCTCGGGTTAAGAACTTTGCTTCAGGATGAGAACAGAAATCGTGCTCCGGCGGCACGGCAGCAGCAGGAGGCCCCATTAGCTAAAGTGGTGCTTCAGGTTAAGAACAGTTTCAGGTTAAGAATGGACCTCCAGAACGAATTAAGTACTTAACCCAAGGTACCACTGTATAAGCTTAGAAGGGACGTGGACTCAGGACTTTTCCACCTCATTCTGCCCCATGTCCCCATGTTGTCTGAAACCACAGAAGTTGGAGATTGTCAGGGACGTGGCTGAATTGAATGCCTGGGAAGAGCCTCACTCTGGAGATGGAATGCCAGTACAGAGGGAGCCAGAGTCTGACTCTGGAGACGAGGGGATGCAATCACAGACAGAGCAGGAGTGGGTTAGTTCGGGCCCCCTTCATCAAGAGTTCCCCGGCTCAGATAGAGCCGCAGACTAGGAAAGCTCGCAGGCTAAGGGAGGGGAGGAGATAGATGGCATTGAGGGGGTTGCTAGGCAAACAGGAGGAAGGCAGCGTTTAGAGGACTTCGTTTGGGGAGGGGAGTCCACCCACCTTCTCCCTGAACCAGAAAACCTGAAAGGGTTAAAATGCAACAGAAGTACAAGAGAGGAAGGACTGGAGTTGGGTGCCCTTTGTGCTGTGAAAGGGGAGGACCAACTCGTAGCGAAGAGCAGCAGGCTCGGAGCCGCTCTCTGGATGTTAATTGTAAATAAACGTACCATAAAACTGCCAGAAACTCATTAATTCTTATGGGAGCTTGCTTGCCTGCCTGAGACCATTACAGAGATCAAAGCTCCTTGATTCGATTTCTATGTCCAGCTTGGGTCAGACTCACATTGTGGAATGGGATTAGATCTGTAGCCTTCAAAGTCCTCAAAGAGGAAGGTGGTGGGGGATGTGGCGGCTTCCACTTCTGGTCTCCTTCCTCTGATTCTAGGCTGGTTTTCTTCCAGGTGAAAGCAGAGATCGTTCTAGTCCAGAATTTAGTCAGCATTCAAGTCTTGGACAGCATCAGCCAAGCCCGTGGACCCCCAACCACCACCACTCCAGAAGAGGAGCACCATATCCTTGGAAATCATGACGAAATAATCAACACCCTAAACACCAACGCCCACCCAAGCCTTCAGGGGCAGAAAAACAACATGGCCCTTGATGAAATAAAAGCCTCCAGAACCCACTTCTGTCGGCATCTGAAATCCTTTGTACGGGACTGGGTTGGGATGGCTGTATACTCCATTAACTTCCATGGTATTACATAATGTATATATTATAATTGATAATATCATGGTGAATCACCTTGAATTAAGGGTATGCACTTGGACAGGAATAGATTTAGCCTTCCATTTAATTTTCATTTTGAAAGATGCCTTTGTTTTGTTTATTTCTATGGACCTTGAATTCAATTTACTTTTGTTTCATTTCAGTTTTGCCTCCATTTTTGAACTGATTTCAAGGGGGGGGGGACACACACCCCATCTGCTGCCTGTAACTTTGTTGTTTTCCATGGCGTGAGTGCTACACGGCATGTCTACTATAAATGGCGTTTATCCAGTCTGTCTGCCCAATCCTTTTGGGTCCTGCCCTGGGTCCTTTTGATTGTTGGAGACGTCTTGTGGGGGGTAGCCAGCACGGTGCTCTTCAGGTGTTGTTAGACTACAGTTCCCATCACCCCTGACCATTGGCCATGGTAGCAGGGGCTGATGGGAGTTGGAGTCTCACAACACCTGCAGGGTGCCATGTTGTTTCCCTCTAAGACTTGTGTACAACCGCTTAAGATGCCACCGAATTGTTGGAGGGCAAAGTTAAATTGTTAACAAAGATGTATAATTTGTTGTTAGAATGGTATACAAAAGATGAAGAGACCAATGAAGTTATTATAAAATGGGCTATTGACTTTGGGTATAATATTGAGTTTGAAGCTTAGTCAAAATTGTGGAATCAAAGTATAAAATTTTGTATGGCCTTAAAAGAGAATGTGTGGGATGCGGGTGGCGCTGTGGGTAAAACCTCAGTGCCTAGGACTTGCCGATCGCATGGTCGGCGGTTCAAATCCCCGTGGCGGGGTGCGCTCCCGTCGTTCGGTCCCAGCGCCTGCCAACCTAGCAGTTTGAAAGCACCCCCGGGTGCAAGTAGATAAATAGGGACCGCTTACCAGCGGGAAGGTAAACGGCGTTCCGTGTGCTGCGCTGGCTCGCCAGATGCAGCTTGTCACACTGGCCACGTGACCTGGAAGTGTCCCGGCCTATAGAGTGAGATGAGCACACAACCCTAGAGTCTGGCAAGACTGGCCCGTACGGGCAGGGGTACCTTTACCTAAAAGAGAATGTAATGAAAATGATGTATAGGTGGTATTTGACACTGGTGAAATTGGCCAAAATGTACAGGATGAGAAACAAATTATGTTGGAAGTGCAAAGAGAAAGATGGAGATTTTTATTATATGTGGTGAGTTTGCGATAAAGTAAAAGCATTTTGGGAATTGATCTACAGTGAGTTAAAAAAGATGTTTAGATATACCGTACTTTCCCCAAAAGACCAGAAGCATTTTTGCTGGGTTTGAAGGGAGAAGAAATTGCAAAGGTAGACCAAGATTATTTATGTACGCCACAACGGCAGCAAGAACTTTATTAGCCCAAAGATGGAAATTGCAGGCGTTACCAACGATTGAGGGAGGAGTGGCAGATGAAGATGAGGGACTATGTGGAACTAGCCAAGCTGACCGGTAGAATCCAGAACCAAGATGACCAAAAATTTCAAAGAGACTGGAGTAAATTTATTTGGTATATGAATAATTATTGTAAAAATGTGAAAACGCTAGCGGGATTGGAATAAATCCGGCAACGACAAACTTTAAAAATTTCTAGACCAATTGAGATAGAACTGATTTTAAAGGTATAAAGGTCAGAAATTGGTGTTTTAAAGTGCGATACAAGGACTTGAAAACAAAAAAACCAGCTGAAGGGCCGGAGGCAAGTCATAAGCTTGGCAAAGCAAAGATTATACAGTGGTACCTAAGGTTACATACGCTTCAGGTTACATACGCTTCAGGTTACAGACTCCGCTAACCCAGAAATGGTGCTTCAGGTTAAGAACTTTGCTTCAGGATGAGAACAGAAATCGGGCTCCGGCAGCGCGGCGGCAGGCCCCATTAGCTAAAGTGGTGCTTCAGGTTAAGAACAGTTTCAGGTTAAGAACGGACCTCCAGAACGAATTAAGTACTTAACCTGAGGTACCACTGTATTTGTTATTATAATGTTGGATATGTAGCACACACGCAACAACAAAATGCTTTTGCGGTCCCGGGAGTCCAAGCCAGCTGAGAGGCACGCGCTGCTCTGTAAAAGGAAACATTCGCCAGGCACACACACACACATACAAGGCTAGCAGGGCAGTACCGCAGAGCGAGCACAGCAGCCCAAAACCCACATGGCGGGGGGGGCAGCACTTACCTCACCAGCAAAGGTCCTGGAACCTGGAAGGAAAACAAGTGAGCCTGGGGTCATCGGTCCCTTATGCTGGCCCTCGCTCCACTCCCAGCCAGCTGCCCATAGGCCTGCCGAGATGGGGGCAGGACAACGGCCTCCCTGGAACACAGGTGGGTGGTTCACCTGTCCCAGGAGCCCACATGGTGCCGCAAACCCTGCCCACCCAAGGGACGGGGCGAGCGGATATTGTTTGTTATTATAATGTTGGATATGTTGTGTTAAAAAAGGTAAGAACTAATAAAAATATATATTTAAAAAAGAAGAAGAAAAAAGACGCCACATCTGCTAAACTGGATGAAAGGAGACTTGATTGTCAGAGACTTCAGGAGGACGTTGAACTCCTTTTAATTTTATTTTTTAACTCTCCTTTGTGGAGAGACGGTACATTTTCTCAGAGTGATCCAAGTCTGGATGTCTCTATTATCATTGGAGAAATGTTGGAAGGTATGGAATTATCCAGCCCTCGAGCTGTCTGTATAGGGAAGGTTTTTTTAAAAAAAAAATATTGATGTTTTTATATATGTTGGAAGCTGCTCAGAGCAGCTGGGGCAACCCAGTAAGATGTGTGGAGTGTAAATAGTAAAATTATCATTATGGAATGGGACGTCTTTATTTTCATCAGAGGGTATGGGATCCGTTTTCAAAACAAGGCCTCCAATGTGAAATGAACGTAATGAGGTCCGTCCCCTCTGCACTATACATTTAAAGCAACGTTGCACCACTTGAAATAGCCCTAAAAGGTAAAGGTAAAGGGACCCCTGACCATTAGGTCCAGTCGCAACCGACTCTGGGGTCGCTGCGCTCATCTCGCTTTATTGGCCGAGGGAGGCGGCGTACAGCTTCCGGGTCATGTGGCCAGCATGACTAAGCCGCTTCTGGCGAAACAGAGCAGCGCACGGAAACGCCGTTTACCTTCCCACCAGAGTTGTACCTATTTATCTACTTGCACTTTGACTTGCTTTCGATCTGCTAGGTTGGCAGGAGCAGGGACCGCGCAACGGGAGCTCATCCCATCACGGGGATTCAAACCGCCAACCTTCTGATCGGCAACTCCTAGGCTCTGTGCTTTAACCCACAGCGCCACCCACTTCCCTTAAATAGCCATAGCTCCCCTTAAATAATTCTGGGAACAGTAGTTTGTTAAAGGTGCTGAGAGTTTTTAGGAGACTCCTATTCTGCTCCCAGCTACAGTGTCCAGCTTTCTAGCCCATGCCGTGTCTTTAGGTCTCCAATTGGCCTATGTGTCGTACTGATCTGATCACTGAAGTTTCTGCTGAAAGCCATAATCTGAGTCTGAGGAGGTCATCAGACAGGAGTTAGGACAGATGGCAGAATGATGGATTGTTTCCTCAATATGCTAGCTCTAAGCTGGCAGAGCTCTGTGGATTGGGAACAGGGCTTTTTGTGTGGCCTGCAGGACGATGCAACATACCGTATTTTTCACTCTATAGGACACACTTTCCCCCCTCCAAATATTAAGGGGAAATGTGTGTGCATCCTTTGGAGCGAATGCAGGCTCCTTGGCTTCAGCAATAGCAATGCGAAGCCTCCGAAGCACAGAGGGAGCGCTCTCGCTGTGCTCCAGAGGCTTCGAGTTCCTTTTGCTGTAGCCAGGAGAGTCTTGCTCTCCAGGCTTCAGCGAAAGGAACCCAACGCTATCTGAAGAGTGAGAGGGGTCGATGCGCACCAACCCCTCTCCCTCTCCAGATAGCCGCCTGAAGCCTCTGGAGTGCAGCGGGAGTTCCTGCTGCACTCTGGAGGCGTCGGGTTCCTTTCGCTGAAGCGTAGGTGCCCCTTCAGCTAAGGCGCAGCGCCCCTTCAGCTAAGTGGGAGGAGAAATGGAAGGGGCTCCATTTCTCCAGCCGCTTCGCTGAAGGGGCACTGCGCAGAGAGGGGGAGATTTATTTATTTTTGTTCTCCCCCTCTAAAACAAGGTGCGTCCTATGGTTGGGTGCGTCCTATAGAGCGAAAAATACAGTATGTGTTTTTGTTTTTAAATCAAACGCAGCACTTCGGATATCTACAGGGTCCAACCTCTATAGCACACAGACTCCAGGGACTATCGGAGTGATGTATGAGTCTCTAGTTTGCCTGTTTCAAAGCAGGAGAAAACTCATGGGGTCTCCCTCAGCTCATGACTCATATCTCTGCTTTATGACCTCTTTCTCCTGTTACCTGGGAGTTTGCACTAGGGGGTAAGGAGGCTCCCAAGCAGTGAAACATCTTGGGCTGAGGGGGAGAGGAAAAGCAGGGATGGGTGTCTGGGCTCAGCTGGGGATCCCAGTCACCACCATCAAAGAACTTGGGAGGAACCCAGACCCCAATCTGGGCACAGAGAACCACCCAGGATGCCCGTAAACCTCCCACCTGAAAGAACAACACGGACATCATGCAGACACCATTCTATAGCTTGGGGCCCCTCCAGATTTGCAAGATCCTGCCTGGTTCTGCTTCTAGCAGGTAAGAGATTTGGGGGGGGGCGTCTCTGGGGAACAGAGATCCTGGCTTGATGATGGTCTGGGGAGAAGAGACCCAGAAGGACTGAGATCTATTTATTTTTAAAAATACATATATCTATATCTATAGCTATATAATATTCTTTTACAAAATTGTACACACATAGATCCTAAACATAACAGGACTAACAAAATATGGGTTACTGGGTGGGGACCTAAAATACCAACTATCTTGTTTTACAGTACAGTCATACCTTGGTTCTTGAAAGGAATCCATTCCGGAAGTCCATTCGACTTCCGAAAACGTTCAAAAACCAAGGTGCGGCTTCCGATTGGCTGCAGACATTTGGCTTCCAAAAAATGTTCGCAAACCGAAACACTCACTTCCGGATTTGCGGTGTTTGGGAGCCAAAACATTCGAGTCATAAGGCGTTTGAGAACCAAGGTACGACTGTACATACGTAATAATGAGATAATTACAGTAAACCTGTAAAATGAGTTCTTCAGCAGTTCAGCTTAGAAAACACAGAGTAATAGGAGGGAGCGAATGAGTAGTTCCTGCTTATCTATGCCATATTGAAATATAGGTTGCAGGTATTTCTCGTCTCTGTGTTGCTTTGTTTGTATATTTAATAAAATCACAACATACTGTGTAGACATATCTGTTTTTTTTTCTCTCCACCATGGCACCTTTTCCCCCAAACAGCTTTTCCATTACAGCTGTTTGCCAGACTGTATTATACCAGGGCTCAATATTCATTAACGGCAAGGTTTTCCCCATTTCTGGCTATTGCCATTCTAGTTGCTTTCAATAAATGTGTTATTAATTCCTTACTTCTTAACTGGTCCATATCTGTAGTAATGAAGTAAGACTGTTACTGGGGTTATTGGGATTGTCTGAGCTACAATCTCTTTTAAAACTTCATTCCAAAATTGTTCCATTTGTGGACAGCTCCACCACATAAGTTGGTGTGTACCTATAATTTGGCATCCATAAATGCCTCAGTGTTAAATACTATCCATGCACAATTTTTAATAAGCATTCCCTGGTAGTTGCTGACAAATATTTATATGGTGCTTTTGTCCATAAATTGTTCAATTTATCCTCTTCAATGCTTATATCCCAATTTAATTAGCACCAGCTTTTTAGATTTTGTTAGGAGCAAAATGGGTTCATGAAAAGGGTTTTGTATAAAAGGAAATTTCATCCCTTAGCCATTATATGATCTCTTGTCAGCTTCTTTTCATATTCTGCTAGTTTCCTTGTAGCTTCATTTTTCATTTGTGCATTTAGAAGAAATGATCTCAACCAATATCCTAACAGTGAGGTACAGCTGAGATCTAATACTGAGAGAGAAGCTGTTTTATAAGTTCTACGGTCACCTCAGTATAAAAAGCCATGCCTCCCAAATTCTGAGATGACAATTGTATATTTTTTAAATATAAAGTTGATCGAAAATCCCCCTTTATTTGTTCTCAGGGGTGTAAGCTGGGAAGCCCCTTCTGGTTGTAAAATTGCAGGGTATGGTCTGAAGGCAGGTGAGGCCACCACTAACTTGCTGAGGCCTAGTAGGTCTCAGTCTGGTCAGTGGCTGAATTGTTGACCACCTGAGAGCCACATGTATGGCACTTTGGGTGCCATGACAGAAGAAAGGCAGGATTTAAACGTAGGAGAAAGAATAAATGAAATTACGAGGGTTTCTGTCTCCATTACTTCTGCCTGTTCTCGGCCTGTTGAACGGAGTGACTTTCTCCTCCCCATTCCACAGCCTACATCTTGAGCTCTTGCTTCCTGTTGACTCAAGCTGCCAGAAGGGTTAAAGCTCGGCGTCCTCATGTGAAGAAAATGGCCACTCCTAAGCCTCCTCGTTTGCCTCAGGAGGCTGCCACGACGAATGCTTCTGTTCTTCCTCCAGCAACAACCGGGGCTCCCCCCGCAACAGCAGCTGCAGGTGCTGAAACAACCACAGGGACTCTCCCTGCAATGACAAAGGGGACTCCCCTCGCAACAACGAACGGGACGCCTTCTGCAACGACAAATGGGACTTCTCCTGCAACGACAAACGGGACTTCTCCTGCAATGACAAACGGGACTCTCCCTGCAGTGACAAACTGGACGCTCCCTGCAAAGACAACTGGAGCTCCTTTCATTCCTCCTGCAGTGCCAACTAAGACTCCTCGTCCCCGTCCTCCTCCCCGTCCTCCTGCCCCTCCACCACCTCCCCGTCCGCCCCCTCCCCCTCCTCCTTCAGTGACAACTAAGTCTCCACCTCCACCTCCACCTCCTCCCCCTCCCCCTCCTCCTTCAGCGACAACTAAGTCTCCTCCTCCCCCTCTCCCTCCAGCAGTGGCAACTAAGGGTCCTCCTATCTCTCCAGCCTCTCTTCCTCCCCACCCTCCTTCCCTGAGCCCTCCTGCTGAGGGGACACCCAAGAGTCCTCCTCCTCCCGAAATCTCTCCTGCCTCTCCTGGAGCTCCCAGTAGTCCAGGACCAACCGTTCCTGGTGGTCCTGGTGTTCCTACTTCGAAGCGTCCTAAGCCCGAGGAACCCGTGGAACCACCCAGGGGGGATATCATTATCAGTTTTTACCCATCGATTCCGGTCATAGACGAGGACATCCTACTCACCCTGGATGGAGATATCAAAGGCTTTGTGGGCTGCCTTTGGAAGCGAGGGGTGGGCCCTGTATCGAGGACCATTGTGCTCTACTATACGCAGCCCAACGTCACACTGCAATACATGTTTGGCCATACCGGTCGGGAAATTCTTAATCAGGATTGCTCTCTCCTCATCACCAAAATCACCCCTGAGGACACTGCTGTATATGAGGTAGAGATGGAAGTGTGGAGGAATGGGACAGAATACTCTCTCGTTGGGCGAAAATATTTGGAGGTTACAGGTAACTCCTTCTTGGGCCCTTCTTTCCTCTAGAACAGGTGCGAAAGACGATCAAGCTTAAATGGAATGCTTGGTTTAGGAGCACCTCCATCAAGGCGAAAACCTCAATCCAATCTATAAAAATCTGCCTGCATAAAAAGGCCCTCAGCTGCTGCACACGGCTGAGCTGTAGACAGAGTTGTTGAACTGTCGCTATGGCCTTTGGCCACCTGACACCAGAAACAGGTGATAGAAAGAGTTATCAGCTGTTTCTGGTGTCAGGTGGCAAACAGCCAAAACAAGGGCTGCCATATGTCCATCATTTCCCGGATATATCTGGGATTTGCCCGTCGAAAATAGTGTCCTGGCAGAATTTCCAAAAATCCGTAGAAATGTCCAGGAATTTCCTTGAAAATCACCAAAACCCCTCATTTTGGGGGGAGATTTTGCAAAAGGAAGCTCAACAACTTTCTTTCATGTCTCACAACCCTGGTTTAGTATAATAAAGCATAATTTCTGAGACAGAAATAGAAGGCTAACGGTCAGAGTCCATAGAGAGGCAAGTGTTCTTTGCATTTCTGGAAACCACACGGTGCCAATGCCACAGGCAGATTTGGGTTCCCATCGCTGTTTTCACATGACTTTTCCCTTACCTCCAGGAGATGAGAAAGAGATAGAAAGAGCCGGAGGCCTCTCAGGAGGAGCCATCACAGCCATTGTTCTTGGGTGTCTCCTGGGGGTCATATTGGCCGTGGGTCTGATTAGCTACCAAACCAAATCAACTCGAAGGTAACAAATATCTCTTCGTCACTTATTACTTTGTTGTTTTTCCTTGTATCTTAGAAGGATAGATTCTGATTTAATCTTTCGGGAAACTGAAAGGGGCCAACCCAGACACTCCAAGTGTCCCTATTTTCCAGTGACTGTCCCAGATTTACACTAGCCATCCCGGTTTCTGATTTGATCCCAGAATGTCCCGCTTTTCCTTAGGATGTCCCTATTTTCATCAGAGAAATGTTGGAGGGTATGGAATAGGAAGTCCTCAGGGCTCTCTGTCAGCCGGAACTCACCAGAACTCAGTTCCGGCACCTGTCTGGTGGGTACCACTGCCATTCTAGTAGAACGAAAGACGTGTTCCTTATGAGTTCTGGCACCTCTTTTTCCAGAAAAATAGCACCGGGCATCCCTAAATTCATCGGAGAAATGTTGGAGGGTATAGATAGGGATGTCCCTATCTTCATCATAGAAATGTTGGAGCTACTCAGTTCTGAGCAGCCTGAGTTAAAAACAAAAGAGGAATGTAAATGGGTAAAATTCATGGTAATTGCATCCAGACAGGTTATAGCGAGTAACTGGAAAAATGCAGAAGAGCTGGGGGTGAACCAATGGAGGAAAAAACTGAACAATATTATAATTTTAGAATACCTAACTGTGAAGATACATAGAATGAAAGGGTTTAAGGTCAGTGAGAAAGAGGAGGATTGGTTTGAGAAGACATTGAATTATTTGGGTATGTTTGAACAATTTGGGGCAATTAAAATGTTAAAAGTTAAATAAACCTTGTGGAGGGAGGAGTGTTAAGGTATATAGAAGTGTACATATGGTTGATTTGAACATGTTATTATTGAATATTATTGAATATGTATATTATTGAATAAGTATATTATTGAATATGTATGTTATTGAATATGTATACCCAATGTATCAGCTGCCTAGGGGGTTTCAATGTTTGTGTTTTGGTTGTTGGTAAAATATATTTTTTTTAAAAAAAATCATAGAAATGTTGGAGGGCTGGGCCTAACGCTCTGTGGCAATCTTTTTCATTAAGAGAGAAACTATGCCAAACTTAGTGTGGACACCTGATAGGCATTGCCCACAGCTCCTGAGCTCCATTACTGTAAGATACATAATTCTACTGAACGGCTAAATCAAAATGTTTAAAACAGAAATCAATAACCGTTTCTATAGCAACAGGAGAAGCAATGAACAGCGAGACCCCAAAAGCCTTCTAGAAGAACCTGGTTTCTGCTGCCTGGTGTCTGAAGATGGTGGGTGGTGGGTGCTGGTCGGGTCTTGGTGGGGAGGCATTTCATAACACAACTCTGCTTTTGGTGATGAGTTGTGGCATTGGGGAGGGCTGTTCCCTGTTCACGTGACAGTGCTTTCCCTATCTAGACCATCCTGCTCATTCTCACGCAGAGGAAACTCAAATAGCCTAGGGTGGCACAGAATTTTGATCAGGAAAACCGGGCTGTTGGTTAGGTGCCTCCTCACCTTATTCCTCACAGACGGCTCCATTGGTTCATTTCTGGGTAAAATTCAAGGTGTTCAGACTAGTGTTTAAAGCACCTAAATGACTTAGACCTCAAATATCTGAGGACCTTCTGTGACGCAGTTGAGAGGGTCCAGAACAGCCTTGTTGCTCCTGAACTCTTTGTCCTTTTGCTTATTTTAGGAGTGCTGAACCAGAACCTGCAATAGCAAGCAACAAACCTTCAAGGTAAGCAGCAGGCAAATCCTGGATGCTCTTCTTCTTCTTCATTTTCTCCTCCTCCTCCTCCTCCTTCTTAAAAAAACAGCTTTTGGGAATTACAGGAGTGTCTCAGAGCTCCAAGATTCCATTTCCATATTTGGGGTTCTATGAGAAGCGCAGGGATTCAGGTAACAGAAAATAAGAGAACTTAGCCCTCAGCCATAGCAGGAGACTGGCTTCTCCAGGCTTCCTACCTGAAATTACAGGCATGCATGTCAGCAAACGGAACACTACTTCAACAATCTAACATTCACATCCTCACAGTGCTTCTTCAGACTGTTTGTCTGAATTATATTTTATTTTTAAGCACAGCATGTACATTTACTTCTGTTCATTTGAATGTGCATCTCCCCCTCCCCCCATTTAAAGAACTGCAAAACTTCTCCAAGGATGTGTCCAGGGAAGGTTGAAGGTTCCTGACATCACAGGAACCAGCCAATTGGTGCTATCCATCCTTAGTCAATTTCTGCAGCAGACATGCAGAACTGGGATTTGTACAACTCTGTTCTGGAGGGGAAATATACCTATGGCTTAAATTCTGAGAAGAAGCTTCAGCCCCAAGAGTTTCCACTTCTGACTCCACCCTCTGTTAAGGAAGACGTAAACCAAAAAATTGTGTCTAACCCCTATCCTTGGAGACTAGTAAGAACCAGCACTAAGTACTGCACTTAAGAACGGTGAAGTCGGTGGGTATCTAGTTCAAGGCAGGGCTACAGAGATAAAGGGGTGGAGCTATTCAAATAGGGTCTGGTTGGTTCTCATTGGCTCCAACCAATGGGACAAACTAAACAATCTTCAACCTGGGGAACAGCTGGGAAAACCCACTGTGACTACGGAAAGAGCTACACCACACATTTAAAGCACAACCAATGCACATTTGAAGCTCATGGCTTCCCCCAGAGGATCCTGGGAACTGTATTTTGTTAAGGGTGCCAGGGACTGTAACTCTTGTGACTGGAAAACTACAGAATTCTTGGGGGGAAGCCATGTGCTTTCAAGGTGTTTTGGCTATGCTGTAGACATTTGTCGTGGATCAGGCCAGATTTCCTCAGGGAAATGGAACTTTCTTGGGGTCCCCTGGAACAGGAGGGCAGAAGGTCGAACGGGAGGAACTGATAGATCTTTGGCAGTGGATCCATTTGCAGTGGATCAACAACGGTTTGTGACTTTGTAATGGTCTAGCTCGCAGAAAGAAGCAGGCTTTTGTGTGGAGGGACTTGTGAGCTTGGTTCTGGATACAGATCACAAATTCCTTGGGTCCTAGTAAAAAAAATAAATGACTCCACCTTTGCCCTACAATGCCTTGGACCCTATAGATCACTAGATCAGTCATTCAGCTACTCCCCTGAGCAGTGGTAGCTCCAGTGCTTTTTTCTGGGGCAGGGAGTGGGGGAACTCACCACAAAGTTTGTTTGTTGTGGACCCAGTCGCAGTGCAGACTGCTCCTCCCCAGGCTAAATGTAAGATGTGATTAATAAACTCAAGCAGACAACAATCTGGATGAGAAATGGTCACAATTTCATTGATTACAGGTATAGGTGTGTTTTTGGCTCAGGGATTGGATGTGTCCATCAGGCAAGGCCTCCTTCCACCTGCCTTGCTCTACCCTCTGCTTCTCAATGTGTATTGCATTGTTTTATGTGGCTTGCCGTTGTTTTATTGATTATAGTTTAGATATTGTTGTAACTGTTGAGTAGATTTCTGTTTAACATTTATATGCTGAAAAACACACACCCCTGGGTAGTTTGTTGGTGGGAAAAGTGGCACTTCCCCCTGGTACCTGGTACCTGGTACCACTAGGGTTGCACTCATCAGGGCAAGAGCAGTGAGGTTGGGAGAGATCTATGGCTGCGGCAGTCCCACAGGGCTGCTCTACCAACCCAGTCTCAGGGGTGGATGAGAGGATGAGGTGGATGCCTTCAAAAGAAGGGTGTGCTTGGCCCGGGGGTAACCCGAGTAACGTGGTCCAGGTCCGGTCCCAGATCCAAGGGTTCCACAAGGAGTCAGTCTGACAGGGCCAAGGCAGGACACAAGGCAGGAAACCAGGCAAGGTCAGGCACAGGATCACAGGCAGGTTCTGGCAAACAGCAGCAATGTTGCTCCCGCAACCTGGGGTGGGGGTCCAGCAGCCTTTTATCTCTGTCTGGGTAACAGCCAGTCCTGATCCTTCAGTGACTCGCCTCCCTGTCTCGCCCCAAGGCGAGCACTCCTCCTGCAAGTACTCAGGTCTCTCCTTCTCTCAGACCTCAGTCTCTGCAGCTCAGGAGATGTTGGTGGGTTACTAGACCCAGAGGCCGCCTCAGCCTCTCCTGACCCAACTGGTAGTGGAGCAGCTGTAAGTGATTGCCCAGCTGAAGGCAACGAGGTAATCCCCGCATCTGGAGCCAGGGCAGGCTCAGGCCCCTGACTCAGCCCAGCTGGTGCTTCCTGCAAGGGAACCTGTGCAGACTGGGGCTCTTCAGAATCAGGCCCCAGACTCAGTTCAGATGCCACCTGAGGCAAAGGATCCGGTGCGGACTGAGACTCCTCTGGCTACGAGTCTGAGCCCGAGTCCCAGGCCAATCACAAAGGGAGACTCTGGTCCACTGTGGGGGAACAATGCAAGCCTAATGCCTACCTCTGAAATTTCCTTTGTTTCCCTAGGGTGGGCAGTAAGAGCAAGGCACCTACGTAAGTACCAACCCTACAGAATGGGGCAGTGAGTGCTGGGTGTGTGGGGTGCAAGTTCCTCAGCCTGCCTCCATGGCAGGTGAAGGGAATTTGTGGACTTCCAGATGTTGCTGCCCCACAACCCCCCTTCCTCAGGCCCAGCAAGCACAACCAATGCTCAGGGAAGATGAAAGCAGCAACTGGAGGGCCAGAGGTTCCGCACACCAGATCTCCTGCAAGTTCTTCTTGTTGGTGTAATGTGAACCAAGGGTTAAATGACACAGTGCTTGGGCTCAGGTGTTGAGGGACCTTGGATAGGCTAGTTTGAGCCTCTTAGTTTAAGCAACCCAGGTTTCTTTTAAACTGCAAAGGGGTAGCCCCAAGGCTGGATTTAGGTTTGATGAGGCCCTCAGCTACTGAAGGTAATGGGGCCCTTTATATGTCCAGCTGTCCTTTGTCAACAACAAATTGTCGCTGTTTTTCATGTTGAATATATGTTCTATGGTAATTTATGGACCTAATAGGTATCTAAAGCCATTTGCACATAACAAAATATGTACATCACAGGAGCCTACACAACACAAAACACTGTTGCTGTAGGTAGGTTTTATTTTATTAGTTTTTCATCTTACATTTTGGAAATGTACATCCAGGCTTTTCCCCCTTTAATTTGTTTTTTTGGGGGCCCCCAAGAGAGTGGGGCCCTAAGCTATAGCTTGTTTAGCTTATACGTAAATCTGGCACTGCATCAGCCCACTGAGACATGAATAGACCCTGGGGAGGGGAGTTGAATGACAACAGTAGCATCTCACGCCAAAACATTGAATGATGTGTCCCCTGAAGGCAAATTAAGCACCAGAGAGGCTCAGTGAACAGCAGAAAATAGAGCCCCAGTCAAATAAGGGACATGGAGGTTTTCTAAAGAAGCAACTATCTTTGAAACAACGGTGAGGCACCAAATTCTCCCTCCTAAACTCTTCGATCCTTTCCCCTGTTTCTTTAGCAATGAATTGGACCCGTCCACGGTAACCACGTCTTCTGCAGCACGGTAAGTAGCAAACCTAGAGGATGGAGCCTGAAACCTCTCTTTCTGGAGAAAACTGGATTTTCTCTCCAAAAACCACAAACTACTTAAGTTAAGATGTCTTCTAAAAGTTAAGAACGACGTAACTTTTAGAAGACATCTGAAGGTAACCCTGTATCAGGACGTTTTTAACATTTGATGCCTTATTATGTTTTATATATTCTGAAAGCTGCCCAGAATGGCTGGGGAAACCCAGCCAGATTGGCAGGGTATAAATAATAAAATGAAGAAGAAGATGATGATGATTAAACAACATCTGGCAGGAGGCAGAGAGGGAGGGCAGACTTCTGGAATTCCATTTCCACCTTTGGGGAGAAAGTGGTTTGGGGTGGGGGTCCAGTTATTCAAATGAAGACAGATGTTGCACAAAGTTCGTATTGTTATTGGGGGAGGGGGGTTCCCTCTGCTCAACTCACAAACGTAAGGAAGGAAGGATCATATCCGACAAATATCATATCCTCTTCTAGCATCTAATCACATCTCAGCATCCTGTTCAGCACAGGAAATCACTCTATAATGAGCCAGGCCGTTGGTTCATTTATCTCAGCATCATCAACACCGATTGGCAGGGGACGCCCTAGCTAGCCTGTTTTGAGGCTCAAATGAAAAGACAGAGAACCACGTATGCCCCCTCAAGCTCCTTGGAGGGGAACAGGGGGCGATATAATTGCAACAATTAAATAAATTTCATGTGTTAGAAGTATAACCTTCCAGGGTATCAGAGATAAAGATGGTGGGTTTGCTTCCAGTTGTGGCGACCGTCCTCTGATTCTAGATTGGCTTTCTTCCAGGTTAAAGACAGAGTGATCATTCTAGTCCAGAATATTGCCATCATTCAAGTATGGAGCAGCATCAGCAAAGTCCAAGGAACCTCCAACCCCCCCACCCCACCCCAGAAGAGGAATATCGTATGCATGGAGATCGTGGTGGATCACTTAAGCACCATCTCTTAGGTCTATCCAGGCCCCCAGGCAGAAAAAGAAAAACCACACACATCATATCTGCTGATGAAATAAAAGCCTCAAGTGGTTATTTCTGACTGTATTGGCACTGCTTTGCAAAGGACTGCTGGGATGGGTTTATATTCCAGTATCTGCCATAGTATTCTATAATGTGCATATTGTTATTGGGTTATTGGTGGTGTTGCTGTTGTCTCATCAGTGAGTAACAGTAGGCAAATAGGTCCATTTCTGTTTCTCCCCATTTCTCATATTTTGCAATTACAAGTTCAACTACACATTAGTGTGCAGTAAGTTGGTTTTTTAAAGACCTCGTGAAAGCACGGATTTTCTCTTAACATGCACATTTCTTGCCAAGCAGAGATATACACCTTTTTTTTTTTTTTGCAATGCAATTTTGCCCGACGTAATGCCTAGCGCATGGATTTCTGCACACCTTCCTTGGCCAGAGAACTGGGTTGCCAATCACAAAGAAGTGATTCCTTCATTGCAGGGGGCGTTTGTCTCGATGACCCTTGTGGTCCCTTCCAGCTCTATGATGCTATGATTCTAATTGCTTTGGAAAGTGAGGTATAGGCAGGTTCACATGCCAGCCAAGTCAAATTTCTCCCCCTAAACCTAGCTTCATGCTAAAGAAAAGAAAATCAGATAAAGTGCCTCTGATATCTCCAAGGAAGGGGCCAGTCTCCACACACCGCAGAAGCTACTGCGACACTAGGAGGATGTAAGAGTTGATTGCCTGCCTGTACATGGGGCTACCTTTGAAGGTGACCTGGAAACTACAACTAATCCAGAATGCGACAGCTAGACTGGTGACTGGGAGTGGCCACTGAGACCACATAACACCGGTCCTGAAAGACCTACATTGACTCCCAGTACGTTTCTGGGCACAATTCAAAGGGTTGGTGGTGACCTTTAAAGCCCTAAACGGCCTCAGCCCAGTAGACCTGAAGGAGCGTCTCCACCCCCATCGTTCTGCCAGGACACTGAGCTCCAGCTCTGAGGGCCTTCTGGCGGTTCCCACCCTGCGAGAAGTCAGGTTACAGGGAACCAGGCAGAGGACCTTCCTGGTGGTGGCGCCTGCCCTGTGGAACGTCCTCCCATCAGATGTCAAGGAAATAAACTACTACTTGACTTTTAGAAGACATCTGAAGGCAGCCCTGTTTAGGGGAGTTTTAAATGTTGGATGTTTTATCGTGTTTTTAATATACTGTTGGGAGCCGCCCAGAGTGGTTGGGGAAAACCAGCCAGATGGGTTTGGTATAAATAATAATAACAATAATAATAATAATTACTATTATTATTTCATAGCAGGGCAGAAGGAAAGTCATGGGGTCTCCCTCAGCTCATGACTCATGTCTCTGCTTTATGACCTCTTTCTCTTGTTACCCGGGAGTTTACACTGGGGTTGAACAGGCTCTTGGCACTGAAGCACCCTGGGCCTAGGGTGGGAGAACCTAGGGTGGGAGAACCTAGGATGGGTGTCTGGGCTAAGCTGGGGATCCCAATCACCGGCATCAAAGAACACGGGGGGAACCCAGGCACCAACCTGGGCACAAAGAGAACCTCCCAGGATGCCCCACACCCTCCCACCTGCAAGAGCAACTCGAACAACATGCAGACGCCGCCCAACAGCTTGCGGACCTTCTGGGTTTGCAAGGTCCTGCCTGGTTCTACTTCCAGGTAAGACATGGGGGGGGGGTGTCTCTGGGGAACAGAGGTTCTGGCCTGGGGAGGGCCTGGGGAGAAGAATCAGCATTCCAAACCTCTCAATATATTTCTTAAACGGTGGCACCTAGAACACATGACTCCAGTTGGGGGTCTGACCAAGGCAGGTTAGAGCAGTCAGTACTATGACTTCCCTTGATCTGGACCCTAGGCTGCCTAGAACGGAATTAGCTTCTGTTTTCTTCCTTTTTGGAAATAATTTTTAATTTTATTTTACAAGTATAAGAATATGACAATACAATCATACTCATCCATGTTTAAAGATTCCTCCGAATCTCTGGACTTCCCATCCTCCCCTTCATGGGTCCTATTGTCAGCCCTTTCAACTGCATATTATTATTCAGTTAGTTCAAATTTTTTATCACTCCATTATCTCCATAGTATTTGCTACATTACAAGTGTTATTGCAGTCCTGCTAACGTTTTCATCTGCTTACGGTGGTCTCCAAGATAATTCCCCCCCTCCACTCTTTGTTAAAGTTTTGGTCTTCTTGGTTCCTGAGCTTCCCGGTCAGTTTAAATTACCATTTTCGGTCCAACAGTTTAATTTACCATTCTTCTCTGGTATGCATTAGCTTTTTTTTTTTTTTTTTTTTTGCTGACTCATTCTCCCAGTCCACAAAGCTTGTAACTCTATCAAAAAAAGAAGTGAGATTCCTCTGGAATGTCTTGTTTTTGAGAAACCTATGGTGGGTCTTAGTAATCACAGCACCCTTTTCTAAGCGCTCACAGACTGACTGTTGAATTCTCTGTTCTTGGACATTTCCTGGTATCGATGTCAAGCTCACCGGTCGGTAGCTACCTGGATCTTCTCCCCTCCCCTCCCCCCCGCCACCCCCTTCAAAGAGCCCAGTCCTTTCAGCAGCTGTTTGATTGCAGCCCATTGGCATATGTCAGCCCAGGAGCGCCTCTTGATTAATGCCAATTGTCCAAGCTATGGAGGAACCAGCCACAAATTATGCCAGAGATGGAGGCTTATCCTTGGTAGGGACACGCTCCCAGGTCGCACCCGCTCTGACTTTCAGGTTGGCAGACACGGGC